GGGCGAGAGTAGTACTAGGATGGGTGACCTCCCGGGAAGTCCTCGTGTTGCATCCCTCTTTTTTTTTTTTTTTTTTTGCGTATGACTTATCACCTTCGGAACGCCATAACTTTTAAACCGTGAGGCCAAACTCGACATGTGATACCTTTTCGGAAAGCCCAAAGATAGCCCTTCGAGAGTGGCAATGGGCAATGGGTCTTCGTGCCATTGTTTTTTTTTTTCGACACCAAATTTTGACGTTTAGGGGCTTTTCCGGGCCATTTTGTCATCCATACCGTATTTCGGGACCGAAATCGATTTTTAAGACATTGTTTGCGCATATTTTCCATGTCTTGAAGCTCCTTAGGACTAGCTGGTGAGGCCCACGTAGCAGGTGGGACCCACGGTGAATGATTCTTAGAGTCCGTAAAAAGGATAAATGCGATTGCATTGCATATACTAACGGATGCGATCATACCAGCACTAATGCACCGGATCCCATCAGAACTCCGCAGTTAAGCGTGCTTGGGCGAGAGTAGTACTAGGATGGGTGACCTCCCGGGAAGTCCTCGTGTTGCATCCCTCTTTTTTTTTTTTTTTTTTGCGTATGACTTATCACCTTCGGAACGCCATAACTTTTAAACCGTGAGGCCAAACTCGACATGTGATACCTTTTCGGAAAGCCCAAAGATAGCCCTTCGAGAGTGGCAATGGGCAATGGGTCTTCGTGCCATTGTTTTTTTTTTCGACACCAAATTTTGACGTTTAGGGGCTTTTCCGGGCCATTTTGTCATCCATACCGTATTTCGGGACCGAAATCGATTTTTAAGACATTGTTTGCGCATATTTTCCATGTCTTGAAGCTCCTTAGGACTAGCTGGTGAGGCCCACGTAGCAGGTGGGACCCACGGTGAATGATTCTTAGAGTCCGTAAAAAGGATAAATGCGATTGCATTGCATATACTAACGGATGCGATCATACCAGCACTAATGCACCGGATCCCATCAGAACTCCGCAGTGAAGCGTGCTTGGGCGAGGAGTAGTACTAGGATGGGTGACCTCCCGGGAAGTCCTCGTGTTGCATCCCTCTTTTTTTTTTTTTTTTTTTTGCGTATGACTTATCACCTTCGGAACGCCATAACTTTTAAACCGTGAGGCCAAACTCGACATGTGATACCTTTTCGGAAAGCCCAAAGATAGCCCTTCGAGAGTGGCAATGGGCAATGGGTCTTCGTGCCATTGTTTTTTTTTTTCGACACCAAATTTTGACGTTTAGGGGCTTTTCCGGGCCATTTTGTCATCCATACCGTATTTCGGGACCGAAATCGATTTTTAAGACATTGTTTGCGCATATTTTCCATGTCTTGAAGCTCCTTAGGACTAGCTGGTGAGGCCCACGTAGCAGGTGGGACCCACGGTGAATGATTCTTAGAGTCCGTAAAAAGGATAAATGCGATTGCATTGCATATACTAACGGATGCGATCATACCAGCACTAATGCACCGGATCCCATCAGAACTCCGCAGTTAAGCGTGCTTGGGCGAGAGTAGTACTAGGATGGGTGACCTCCCGGGAAGTCCTCGTGTTGCATCCCTCTTTTTTTTTTTTTTTTTGCGTATGACTTATCACCTTCGGAACGCCATAACTTTTAAACCGTGAGGCCAAACTCGACATGTGATACCTTTTCGGAAAGCCCAAAGATAGCCCTTCGAGAGTGGCTATGGGCAATGGGTCTTCGTACCATTGTTTTTTTTTTCGACACCAAATTTTGACGTTTAGGGGCTTTTCCGGGCCATTTTGTCATCCATACCGTATTTCGGGACCGAAATCGATTTTTAAGACATTGTTTGCGCATATTTTCCATGTCTTGAAGCTCGTTAGGACTAGCTGGTGAGGCCCACGTAGCAGGTGGGACCCACGGTGAATGATTCTTAGAGTCCGTAAAAAGGATAAATGCGATTGCATTGCATATACTAACGGATGCGATCATACCAGCACTAATGCACCGGATCCCATCAGAACTCCGCAGTTAAGCGTGCTTGGGCGAGAGTAGTACTAGGATGGGTGACCTCCCGGGAAGTCCTCGTGTTGCATCCCTCTTTTTTTTTTTTTTTTTTTTTGCGTATGACTTATCACCTTCGGAACGCCATAACTTTTAAACCGTGAAGCCAAACTCGACATGTGATACCTTTTCGGAAAGCCCAAAGATAGCCCTTCGAGAGTGGCTATGGGCAATGGGTCTTCGTACCATTGTTTTTTTTTTTCGACACCAAATTTTGACGTTTAGGGGCTTTTCCGGGCCATTTTGTCATGCATACCGTATTTCGGGACCGAAATCGATTTTTAAGACATTGTTTGCGCATATTTTCCATGTCTTGAAGCTCCTTAGGACTAGCTGGTGAGGCCCACGTAGCAGGTGGGACCCACGGTGAATGATTCTTAGAGTCCGTAAAAAGGATAAATGCGATTGCATTGCATATACTAACGGATGCGATCATACCAGCACTAATGCACCGGATCCCATCAGAACTCCGCAGTTAAGCGTGCTTGGGCGAGAGTAGTACTAGGATGGGTGACCTCCCGGGAAGTCCTCGTGTTGCATCCCTCTTTTTTTTTTTTTTTTGCGTATGACTTATCACCTTCGGAACGCCATAACTTTTAAACCGTGAGGCCAAACTCGACATGTGATACCTTTTCGGAAAGCCCAAAGATAGCCCTTCGAGAGTGGCAATGGGCAATGGGTCTTCGTGCCATTGTTTTTTTTTTTCGACACCAAATTTTGACGTTTAGGGGCTTTTCCGGGCCATTTTGTCATCCATACCGTATTTCGGGACCGAAATCGATTTTTAAGACATTGTTTGCGCATATTTTCCATGTCTTGAAGCTCCTTAGGACTAGCTGGTGAGGCCCACGTAGCAGGTGGGACCCACGGTGAATGATTCTTAGAGTCCGTCAAAAAGGATAAATGCGATTGCATTGCATATACTAACGGATGCGATCATACCAGCACTAATGCACCGGATCCCATCAGAACTCCGCAGTGAAGCGTGCTTGGGCGAGAGTAGTACTAGGATGGGTGACCTCCCGGGAAGTCCTCGTGTTGCATCCCTCTTTTTTTTTTTTTTTTTTTTTGCGTATGACTTATCACCTTCGGAACGCCATAACTTTTAAACCGTGAGGCCAAACTCGACATGTGATACCTTTTCGGAAAGCCCAAAGATAGCCCTTCGAGAGTGGCAATGGGCAATGGGTCTTGTGCCATTGTTTTTTTTTTTCGACACCAAATTTTGACGTTTAGGGGCTTTTCCGGGCCATTTTGTCATCCATACCGTATTTCGGGACCGAAATCGATTTTTAAGACATTGTTTGCGCATATTTTCCATGTCTTGAAGCTCCTTAGGACTAGCTGGTGAGGCCCACGTAGCAGGTGGGACCCACGGTGAATGATTCTTAGAGTCCGTAAAAAGGATAAATGCGATTGCATTGCATATACTAACGGATGCGATCATACCAGCACTAATGCACCGGATCCCATCAGAACTCCGCAGTGTAAGCGTGCTTGGGCGAGAGTAGTACTAGGATGGGTGACCTCCCGGGAAGTCCTCGTGTTGCATCCCTCTTTTTTTTTTTTTTTTTTTGCGTATGACTTATCACCTTCGGAACGCCATAACTTTTAAACCGTGAGGCCAAACTCGACATGTGATACCTTTTCGGAAAGCCCAAAGATAGCCCTTCGAGAGTGGCTATGGGCAATGGGTCTTTGTACCATTGTTTTTTTTTTTTTCGACACCAAATTTTGACGTTTTAGGGCTTTTCCGGGCCATTTTGTCATCCATACCGTATTTCGGGACCGAAATCGATTTTTAAGACATTGTTTGCGCATATTTTCCATGTCTTGAAGCTCCTTAGGACTAGCTGGTGAGGCCCACGTAGCAGGTGGGACCCACGGTGAATGATTCTTAGAGTCCGCTAAAAAGGATAAATGCGATTGCATTGCATATACTAACGGATGCGATCATACCAGCACTAATGCACCGGATCCCATCAGACTCCGCAGCTAAGCGTGCTTGGGCGAGAGTAGTACTAGGATGGGTGACCTCCCGGGAAGTCCTCGTGTTGCATCCCTCTTTTTTTTTTTTTTTTTTTGCGTATGACTTATCACCTTCGGAACGCCATAACTTTTAAACCGTTGAGGCCAAACTCGACATGTGATACCTTTTCGGAAAGCCCAAAGATAGCCCTTCGAGAGGTGCAATGGGCAATGGGTCTTTGTGCCATTGTTTTTTTTTTCGACACCAAATTTTGACGTTTAGGGGCTTTCCGGGCAATTTTGTCATCCATACCGTATTTCGGGACCGAAATCGATTTTTAAGACATTGTTTGCGCATATTTTCCATGTCTTGAAGCTCCTTAGGACTAGATGGTGAGGCCCAGTAGCAGGGTGGGACCCACGGTGAATGATTCTTAGAGTCCGTAAAAAGGATAAATGCGATTGCATTGCATATCTACTAACGGATGCGATCATACCAGCACTAATGCACCGGATCCATCAGAACTCCGCAGATAAGCGTGCTTGGGCGAGAGTAGTACTAGGATGGGTGACCTCCCGGGAAGTCCTCGTGTTTGCATCCTCTTTTTTTTTTCTTTTTTTTGCGTATGACTTATCACCTTCGGAACGCCATAACTTTTAAACCGTGAGGCCCAAACTCGACATGTGATACCTTTTCGGAAAGCCCAATAGAAGCCCTTCGAGAGTGGCAATGGGCAATGGGTCTTTCGTGCCATTGTTTTTTTTTTCGACACCAAATTTTGACCGTTTAGGGCTTTTCCGGGCTATTTGTCATCATACCGTATATTCGGGACCGAAATCGATTTTTAAGACATGTTTGCGCATATTTCATGTCTTGAAGCTCCTTAGGACTAGCTGGTGAGGCCCCACGTAGCAGGTGGGACCCACGGTGAATGATTCTTAGAGTCCGTTAAAAAGGATATAAATGCGATTTGCATTGCATATACTACCGGATGCGATCATCCTCAGCACTAATGCACCGGATCCCATCAGAACTCCGCAGTGAAGAGTTGCTTGGGCGAGAGTAGTACTAGGATGGCACTGGAGGGCCCTTCAGGAGCACAACGTAGGAGAAAAAAAAAAAAAAAACGCATACTGAATAGTGGAAGCCTTGCGGTATTGAAAATTTGGCACTCCGGTTTGAGCTGTACACTATGGAAAAGCCTTTCGGGTTTCTATCGGGAAGCTCTCACCGTTACCCGTTACCCAGAAGCACGGTAACAAAAAAAAAGCTGTGGTTTAAAACTGCAAATCCCCGAAAAGGCCCGGTAAAACAGTAGGTATGGCATAAAGCCCTGGCTTTAGCTAAAAATTCTGTAACAAACGCGTATAAAAGGTACAGAACTTCGAGGAATCCTGATCGACCACTCCGGGTGCATCGTCCACCCTGGGTGCCACTTACTAAGAATCTCAGGCATTTTTCCTATTTACGCTAACGTAACGTATATGATTGCCTACGCTAGTATGGTCGTGATTACGTGGCCTAGGGTAGTCTTGAGGCGTCCTTCGCACGAACCCGCTCTCATCATGATCCTACCCACTGGAGGGCCCTTCAGGAGCACAACGTAGGGAGAAAAAAAAAAAAAAACGCATACTGAATAGTGGAAGCCTTGCGGTATTGAAAATTTGGCACTCCGGTTTGAGCTGTACACTATGGAAAAGCCTTTCGGGTTTCTATCGGGAAGCTCTCACCGTACCCGTTACCCAGAAACATGGTAACAAAAAAAAAAGCTGTGGTTTAAAACTGCAAATCCCCGAAAAGGCCCGGTAAAACAGTAGGTATGGCATAAAGCCCTGGCTTTAGCTAAAAATTCTGTAACAAACGCGTATAAAAGGGAACTTCGAGGAATCCTGATCGACCACTCCGGGTGCATCGTCCACCCTGGGTGCCACTTACTAAGAATCTCAGGCATTTTTCCTATTTACGCTAACGTAACGTATATGATTGCCTACGCTAGTATGGTCGTGATTACGTGCCTAGGGTAGTCTTGAGGCGTCAATTCGCACGAACCCGCTCTCATCATGATCCTACCCACTGGAGGGCCCTTCAGGAGCACAACGTAGGAGAGAAAAAAAAAAAAACGCATACTGAATAGTGGAAGCCTTGCGGTATTGAAAATTTGGCACTCCGGTTTGAGCTGTACACTATGGAAAAGCCTTTCGGGTTTCTATCGGGAAGCTCTCACCGTTACCCGTTACCCAGAAGCATGGTAAAAAAAAAAAGCTGTGGTTTAAAACTGCAAATCCCCGAAAAGGCCCGGTAAAACAGTAGGTATGGCATAAAGCCCTGGCTTTAGCTAAAAATTCTGTAACAAACGCGTATAAAAGGTACAGAACTTCGAGGAATCCTGATCGACCACTCCGGGTGCATCGTCCACCCTGGGTGCCACTTACTAAGAATCTCAGGCATTTTTCCTATTTACGCTAACGTAACGTATATGATTGCCTACGCTAGTATGGTCGTGATTACGTGGCCTAGGGTAGTCTTGAGGCGTCAATTCGCACGAACCCGCTCTCATCATGATCCTACCCACTGGAGGGCCCTTCAGGAGCACAACGTAGAGAAAAAAAAAAAAAAAAAAACGCATACTGAATAGTGGAAGCCTTGCGGTATTGAAAATTTGCACTCCGGTTTTGAGCTGTACACTATGGAAAAGCCTTTCGGGTTTCTATCGGGAAGCTCTCACCGTTACCCGTTACCCAGAACACGGTAACAAAAAAAAAGCTGTGGTTTAAAACTGCAAATCCCCGAAAAGGCCCGGTAAAACAGTAGGTATGGCATAAAGCCCTGGCTTTAGCTAAAAATTCTGTACAAACGCGTATAAAAGGTACAGAACTTCGAGGAATCCTGATCGACCACTCCGGGTGCATCGTCCCCCTGGGTGCCACTTACTAAGAATCTCAGGCATTTTTCCTATTTACGCTAACGTAACGTATATGATTGCCTACGCTAGTATGGTCGTGATTACGTGGCCTAGGGTAGTCTTGAGGCGTCACTTCGCACGAACCCGCTCTCATCATGATCCTACCCACTGGAGGGCCCTTCAGGAGCACAACGTAGGGAAAAAAAAAAAAAAACGCATACTGAATAGTGGAAGCCTTGCGGTATTGAAAATTTGGCACTCCGGTTTGAGCTGTACACTATGGAAAAGCCTTTCGGGTTTCTATCGGGAAG